TTGCCTGAGAGGGTCGGCTGGACCCTCCCGGCTTGTGGCTAGGGAGCGCCGTCACTAATGGTGCTAATTGCAATTACCGCTATCAGTAGTAACAGCAATATTTTATATTAAAAACGCGCTGGCGCTTAGCTAAGCGGTACGCAAGCTGGGGCCTACCCAAAGATGCCGACAGTGGAACGCGGGTGCGCTCTTCAGTGTGCCACGGGTGAGTGTCACCTTTCTACCAGAAGAGGAAATCCCCGAGTGCGGGGGTCCCCGGGACCCCTCTGCAGGTATCCGACAGGAGGAAACCGCAGGGAAAGCGGAGAAGAACAAGTGTGCACTGCACGCGTAGGAGGCGGTGGCAAGGTGATGTATTTCTAGGCATGATTTGTGAAAGGGGGAATAAGTGAAGGAAACGCAGAGAGGGCAGCTGCCATGCCATACCGAACCAGCTGCTTCTCGGTACAACTTGAGATTTGTCAAGCTAGTCCGTGGACGGGTTGCTTAAAAAGAAACCTGTCAGTTATACACCCTACAGGGAGCGTACACCCAGGGGAATGGATAGACTTTAGCTTGCAGAATAATTTCAGACAACCTAAATCCTGGGTTATCCCCTCAGAACACCTGACAGGGTGCAGGTAATGGGACCACAGTTACCCCCTTTCCCACTTAGGCTGCAGGGTGAGAGTCACCCACTGTAATACTGGGGGATACACTTGGCTCAGAGAGAGCTTACTCAGGCTCAGAAGTAAGATTCCCTCAGAATTACAGACAGACTCTTCCTGCTCACACAGGGAGTGTAAGCAGAGACTAAAGCACGCAGAACGGTAATGAAATGCAAGGCCTCTGCCTGGCTGGTTCATTAGCACCTTGGGAAGGGGATGAAACAAGAAGCGAAGAAAAAGCCTAGACGCCGCCCGTTAAGTACGTGTATTTATGGTTGATCTTGACCTTATCTGATTAAGAGGCAGAGCCTGCCCCTCTCAGGCTCTTTCCCAAGCTGCAGAGACAATGCAGATGACCCACAAAAGCCCTTATAGGCTCGATGAGGACTGGGTCGCCTGAAACTCTGGGTTACAGATAATTTATCCTGTAATTCTGGCAGCTTGTGCAATGGTCACGTTCATGCTGTCACGCAGACTCTTGAGTCCACAGTTCAGCACTACCTTGCTGGTCGTCCTTGCTGCTCACGAGCCTGTGGATGCGCCTTCAGATCAAGGCAAATCACGCTAGAGACATCAGGGCTTGCTGGAGGGGCCAGGAAAGGCACTTGAGCACAGCTGGTGTTGAAGGGCAGCGTGCGCACAGCGTGTGCACGGACAGTGGTTTCCCTGGGTTGTCAGTCAGGCCCCTACACCCGTAACACAGGGCTGGGCGTGCACAGACAGAGCACAGCTTTTATGAAACCTTTTTCCATTGGCAGTCAGCTCTTCTGCTGCAGCATTTTGAGGGTACGCTGCGAAGGCGGAAAAGAAAATGTAGTTTTATAGATCCAGGTAGCACGCATGCCATTTGGGAAAACTCCCAATTATCAAGTAATCTTCCTCCTAAGTTTATTAAATAAAAAGGAGCAAAGGAGTTATTTTAATGCCTGATATTAAAGGAGTGAATGCCACAAGTCTTCGTCATAATTTATAAAATATAGGGGCATAAATACTTTTATGTCAGACTTAATGAAACTGTGAGGATACTCTACTTATGTTGAATCTTTAAGCAGAAGACTTCAGTAGGAGTGTTCCTTCTTGGCACCTCTGAAAATAGAGGTGTTGTTTTCTTTGGTATTTTCACTTTACAAAAACAATTTCAATTTAACGATTCAACTGAAGGTTAGCTCTCATATTAACCAATTTATTTGTTAAAGATAGGAATTCTAATTTTTTTACACTTGGGTCAAAGATTTTTTTAAATGAAATTCTTTTTCATTAGGAAAGAGAATTCTGAACCATCTGTAATTGCACTTATGTTCTGAATGTACCTAGAAGATGAGAAAAGTATGTGACTGCACAGAACATTTTAACTGCTACCCAAAGGTTCCCAAAGGGCGGGCAGTGGAGCATGTGCCTCAATGTCCCGCCAGTTAAGGAATTCTCCACAGTGAAACCTTAGGATATTTTCCCTAGTGGATCACAGACGGCAGCATCCACAGCCTACGCCAGGAGACTGACCAAACTGAAAATCAAGTACATGTCGGACATTTGTAGTAAGGAGAACGAAGAGCAGGTGGTGAGTCCAGCAGACTGTTTTAAATAAGCATTGGACAGCTAGAAAATCTGCTTTTGGGTTTTGCACAAACAATTCAAACTGATGTCGGAATCCAGGGTTGTGCTGAAAGGTCACAGTAGATCATAGATTATCTTACTTTAAAAGCTGTAAAAACATTCACCTTGAAAATAGTTACTGGCAGTGTTCTGGATGTCCTTTTTAGCTGGGAAGTACTGTTGGACAGTTGTGTCTCTGTCTCGCCCCCCCCTCTCAGAACAGGATAATTCTATTCAGCAAGTCCCTGTAGAAACTGAGAAGAGGCATCTATCTCTGGGAATCACGAGGTGTTTGCTTAGGATTGTTCCCTCTCTGCCCTTTATGCCACTTTTGCTGTAATCAGTTTCACGCAGGTACCAAAGATTTTACGTATGTCACACCAGAGTGCTGGACTTATGAATTCAGATCACTAAAACACTCCCGTATCATTCCAAAAATGGTCAAAAAGAAACCACTTCAGCAATCTCCAGGTTTAATGGTAAGCATGCAAAGGCTATGCATTCCAAACTAAAACCCCAGAAGATGTACCAAAACAATGAGAAAGCAGTTAAACAATCGCTTTTTGCATGCTGTATTTAAATAGCTCAGAGTCAATCCTGGTAAAGATTAAATATTTATT